ATTCGTAACCACTACGCTACCAGAGCTCCTTGACCAGTGATGATAGCAGCATTAATTGGGCACGTATTATATGCCAGGCACTTAGGATTTTTTACTTAATATTAATCCTCACAACAAGAGTGCTACAGATCCCACTGCCGATTCCCACTCCGAGTGACCCTACAGGACAGAGGAGACACTGCTCCTGAGGGTTTCTGAAACTGTACATCTTTTCAGGAGCAGACGACGGCCTCTTCCTGAACAGTGGCTGGTAGGTTTGAATTGCAGTCAATACCAACCCACAGTGCCAGAAGAGCTCCTATTACATTCATTTTACAGATAAAGTAATAATGGCCAAAGATGTTAGATTTCTGGCCTGAGACCACGTAGCAAATGAGCGGAACACACATTCTTCCAACCCAGATATGACTTCAAACCCATGCACATGTTGCAAAAAAGAAAGAACTTTTCCTCAGCGGCTCCTGTTGATTCTAAGAAAGTATCCCATATTTGCATTTCCCTCAGCTCTTTGGCTCAGTTAACAAATGTTTATAGATCACCTAATCCGTGCTGGTGTGTGGTTGTGTATGATCAACACGACGTCATTTTCAGCATGCGTTTAGCTTTCGCTCACCTGTGAAGGAACTTCTCATATGCCTGGCGGAAGGCAAATCCTGCCCGGCGCACCCTCACGTTTTCCAGCAGGCCAAGATACTCCACTTGATGCCGGCAGCGTTCGTCATCAAATATCTGTGGGGATTTCTTGTCATTGGGTTTGATGCAACGTACGTAATAAGGTTCCTAAGGAAATAAATCCACAAATGATTCAATTCACTGGAGAAAAGGCCCAGGACATGACAATGACATGTAATAAGTGTCAAATGAAGCTCAATGCATGTAATTTCTCAGGCATGTGGATAAAGAGGTTATACTTAAGGATAAAGTATACATCCTAACTTTCTTCCTCAACTTAAAGTTATAAATTTTTATGTAAAAAAATTGAAAAAAAAAAAAAGTTTGTCAAACTTGTCTAGAATATACTGAAGAGGAATTATTTTTATGTCTAAACAAAACAAGTACATGATGAAAAATGAACAAATGACTGAAATCAGAGTGTCTTCTAGCCATGTGAAGTTAAGTATGATAAAGATAAAAAGATAGCTAGACAATCTCTAGATGGCGGAAAACTACAAAATATCAGGGGGCGTTGAAAAGGTTGTGAAAAAAATTTCATCACCTCTTCCTTCCATTTTCCACTCACTTGTTGAAGCTCCCTTGTATCCTTCTAAATGACCCTTGGGTTAGAGAGAAAATGACAGTAGGAGTTAGAGAATATTTCAACTGAATAATTTATAGAATCATGCCAGCAATCTTAGAATAAGGCATCGGTACAGTACTACTCGAAGGAACTTTACTAGACAGAATTCAGTTGAGGGGAATTTTACCAGTGTTTACTGACTATGGGCAGGAAATGGTTCTACCGGAAGAGACACTAATGATCAATTAAAAGGCAGTTGTGGGAGGAAAAAGGGAAGGAAGACTCTTTCATCTTGTTTAGTAATAGATACAAATCTTCAGATAAGGAATCCAGTGAACACTTTATATTTAATCAGTGTTCTGTCTCAAGTTATAAATGCCGCCTCCTCTCGTATTTATTTATAAATACTGAGACTGACTCAACCTAAGAAACCCTAAATTTAACCAACTCTGAGTGTGTTATAAGGGTTAAACTGCAAAAGCTAATATGATCGACCAGTTCCAGGGGTCCTGGCTGTCTTGAGACACCTGTGAGGAAGGGCTTGAAGCCCTTACCCCCAAACCTAGTGGGGTAAGGTTGTGTATTGGTTGTGGAGGCAACAACTTCGATCCCTCCACAATGATGGTGTCCAGAAGAGGAAGGGCCTGGAAACCTGGGAACTGGCCAACAGGATGCAAGAAGTTAGAGTATCAATGAAATCTACAAATATGACAAAAAACAGCAGCAGAAAATCCTGGTGACAAAGCCCTGGGCTAAAGGGCTTTCAGTCCTGTAAAATCTGTGTTGGCACTGCTAAAAATGGTGATGCATGCTAGATCAGGAGGCAAATTGGAAGTGATGGGTGTGATGCCTGAACAGGTGGATGGTGAGACTGCGGTCATTATGGAGTTTTACTGTGCCTGTAGAGGGCACCCAAACCAGGGTCAATGCTCAGGCATCTGGGTACATGGCCATAGGATTTTGAAAACACTGAACAGGCTGGCCTCCTTGCAAATGTGACTGGTTGTTATTACAGCCCCCCTGGCTATGGCTGCTGGCACTCTGGGATTAATGTTAAGACTCACAGACTCAGTCAGCAGTTCAGGAACCATTCGTAGGAGTCCTAATTGATCCAACAAGAACAGTATCTATGGGGGGAGCAACCCTGGGTGCCTTTAGGACATAGTCAAAGGGGTACGGCAGCCACCTGATGAAGACCCTTCTCAGTATCAGGCTATATCCCACTTTGCTGTACACTGCAAACAGAACGATGTCTTGGAAGTTTCATATTTCAAATCCTCTTTGAATCGCAAATTGCTTGAACTTTTATGGGATAAATACTGGATGAATACACTGAGCTCTTCTAGCTTGCTGACGAATGCAGACTATACGACCGGTCAGATCTTTGATTTGTCTGAGAAGTTGGAGCAGTCAGAAGCCCAACTGCGACTAGGGAGTTTCATGCTGGGTTTAGAAACATATGACCTAAAGTCGAAGACAAACTTGTCAAAGCTACATGTTGTTGTTAAGTGCCGTCGAGTCGGTTCCGACGCATAGCGAACCTGTACAGGGTTTCCGAGGGTGTAAATCTTTACGGGAGTAGAAAGCCTCATCTTTCTCCTGCGGAGCTGGCTGGTAGTTTCGAACCGCTGACCTTAAGGTTCGCAGCCCAATTCGTAACCACTACGCTACCAGAGCTACATGAGACAACTGTAAAACTACCACAGAAGCTATCCATTGGTTGAAGCCTCAGGTGGTTAAAAAAGATAATTTGATTAGTTTTACATCTCTTGTGACATTGTAGGATCAGCACTGGACTGCGAACCAAATGTTTGGCTGTTCTCTGGAAACCCTATACAGGGTCGCTATGAGTCAGAACTGACTCAACAGCACGTAACGACGACAAGCAGGACATTACGCTTGGTAAAATGAAGGGAAAGCAAAATAGAGGAAGGCCGTCAATGAGACGGACAGACACAGTGGCTGCAGCAAAGGGTTCAGGAACAATAGTGAGGGTGGCGCAGGGTCAGACAGCGTTTTGTTCTGTTGTGCACGGGGTCACTAACAGAACAATAACAACCTAACAAAACCACCACTGTGGAAAGCCAGGCGCAGAAAATACTCAAGTAAAACTTAAATCTAATAGAAGTGTTGTGAATATTACCAAAGTGCTGTAAAATGGAAAAACAAAAGTTCCTAGTGATCTTATTCTTACGCACTTTTTAACCTCGAGGAGCCCTGACAGAACCATAAAGATGTTTCTCCATGTATTTTATGTGGAAAAAAATCATTTGTACAAGTGTTGCTAGTAATCAGTATACAAATTGGCTAGAAGATATTGTATGTAGATACACGCTTCTTTAATCTACTTTGCCATCATATATCTGTCAGTTTGTCATAATGTGATGGAGTGCATGTTATGATGATGAAGCTACATCAATAATCAGCAGGCTCTACTTTTCCTGGTTTTATCATTTCATTTTTTATTTTTTAGAATTGATTGTTTCTCCCAACACATACATTGCCCCTCCCCCCCTTATGGTAAAATATAGTTGTAAGCAACATTTTTACCTTCTACTGAGTACCTTAAACAGTTGAGTTGTAGTCACCGACCTTCTAACAAATATGCTATAATGCTGTTTAGTTCTAATTTGTTTTTTTAAGGCTCAAAATTCTATTTTGATACAATGATTCTTATTTATGTGTCTATATATTTATCCATTTCTTTGCTCTTTTTTTTTCCTGCCTCTCAGACTTTTTGATACTATCTTCCTCCAGTACCCAATCCAGTATGTGTCTCTGTTAACATCTCTAGCAGCAGTTGTTCCAAAGTTGTATACATATCACTATTTACCCCTACTCCTTTTAGCCCTAGTATATCTCCCTGTGGACTCATGACGTGATGCTGCAGCATTAGCACTGGACCGCTAACCACAAGGTCAGCAGTTCAAACCCACTAGTTTCTCCTCGGAAATCCTATGGAGGGTCACTAAGAGTCGGAACCAACTTGACAGTACTTAACAACATACCTCCCTGTGTCTTCAACAGTCTTCATTATTCTTGTGCCAACCTCCCTTTTCTTGTATTTCTTGTATTCTTTGCCATTCTTGCTCGGGACCTCAAGGTGGGTTTGATCTGCAAGGTCGGTGGTTCAAACTCACCAGCACTCATTGGAAACCCTATACTGGGTTGCTGTGAGTCAGAACTGACTGGACGGAACTTCACAACACCTTCTAGCCAGCGAACTACTCGCCTTTCCCTCTTACTCGTAGGTTTCATTTTATCTTATATGTTTTATATTTTTCATTTCTTGATCTCTTTTGGTAGGATTCTGGATCATTCCTTTTATTTTTTTCTTTCATTTTACAAATTCTTCAGCTTTGTCTAGACCACTGTTAAGTCTGTCCATTGAGTTTTAAATTTCATTTAAAAATTAATTTTTATTTCATTTCTATCACTGCTTTTATTTCTCATACTTTCAAGTCTTTCAGTTCTTGAAACATTTTCTAATTCTTTGTATATATAATTCTTATTTTATGTCTCTGATAATTCTAATTTAAGAATTATCATAAATTTGATTTCTCATCTATGGTACCTTTTTTAATTGCTAAAGGAGCCCTAGGGGTGCCAGATGTTTGTGGGTCAAACCCACCAGTTATTTCTCAGGAGAAAGCTGAGGCTCTCTAGTGCAGATTTCCAGTCTCAGAAACCCTATTTAAGGAGAGGGGCTATGAGTTGGAATAGACTCCTTGGCAGTGGGTTTCGTTTGTTTAGTGATTACTTTTTTTTTTCTTTTAAATTTAGATCTTTATTTCTTTGGAACTTTATCTGTAGAGGTTTTTGAGGTCTAGCAGAAGGTGGTGGTGGTGGTGTTAGGTGCCATGTAGCTGGTACCAACCCATAGTGACCTTAGGCACAGCAAAATGAAATATTGCTCGATCCTGGGCCAACCTCACCACTGTAGCCACACTTAAGTCCATCGATGTTGCCACTTGGCCAATCCATCTCACTGGGGGTCTTCCTCTTTTTCTCTGACCCTTCACCTTACCAAACATGATATCCTTCTCCAGTGACTGGTCCCTCCTGACAATATGTCCGAAGTATGAGAGATGAAGTTTGGCCATCTTGGCCTCCAAGGAGCACTCTGGCTGCATTTCTTCCAAAACGGATCTATTGGTTCTTTTGGCAGCCCATGGCACTTTCAATATTCTCCTCCAACACCATAACTCAAAAGTATCAATTCTACGGTCTTCCTTATTCTCTGTCCAGCTTTCGCATGCATATGAGGTTATTGAAAATACCAAGGCTTGGGTCAGGCGCATTTTAGTTCTCAAGCTGACATCTTTGCTCTTCAACACTTTGAAAAGGTCTTGTGCAGCAGATTTGCCTAATGCAATACATCATTTGATTTCTTGACTGCTGCTTCCATGAGTGTTGATCCAAGAAGAATGAAGTCCTTGACAACTTCAATCTTTTCTCTGTTGATAAGAATGTTGTTTATTGGTCCAGTGGTGAGGATTTTTGTTTTCTTGACATTGAGATGTAATCCATACTGAAGTCTGTG